TTTTTAAGGTTATGTATCCTAATTTTTACCTTTTTGTGTGCCTTCTATTTCTTGCGTACCATAATGAGAAAAAGAAGATTTTTTTACTTTTTAAAACAAGATACAAGGTATTTCTATTTTTACCCACTACAGAATTAAATACTAACATGTTAATTTGAAAGGTTAATTAATGCTAGAAAAGACTGTAATTATTATTACTTTTTTAATTCAATTAAAAATAAGTCACTTACACTTGCTCAGTAACGTCAGTTTATATATAAGTGCATTTATCCTTTTTAAGGTAATGATTTGTATTCGATTCCATGTGAATTTGTTCAAAAAAAAATAAAAATAAGTCACTTATAAGTTATGTGGTAAAGGAGTTTAAAAATAACAATTAGTGATTTTATTCAAATCATTAAAAATAAGTTTTTGATCAATTTATTTACTTCAAAATCGTTATATATTAGATGTTTGTTAAACTTTTTTATTTAGGAATTTGAAACTAGCAAATATATATTAAGATTCATACAGTTAGTAAATTAAAAAAATTATTTAACATAACTTTTTGTATCAAACATCAGTGAATTAAAATTTTTTAATTTTATTGATAAATTTATTTTTTTAATTTTTTTGCCATAATTTTTAATTAGTACTTATCTAATTTGTTTTAACTTTATTTTTTGTCTTTAATAATATTAAATAATTATTATATTTTTATTTTTATTTTAATTTATTATAAAAAAATATATTAACTTAATAAATAAAATTTGCTAATTAAATGAAAAGATTAAAATTTGTTATACTTTATTTAAAACTAATATAAATTTTTCTTCGTTAAAAATAAATATTAATATATGATTACACTATTATAATTTATTTATTATTAATACTTTTATAAAATTAATAAATTTAATAATAAAAAATAAAAATATGCATTTAAGTATTTTTAAATATGTCATTATCAATCATTTAATTTTAAACAATAACTACTAACTGTTATATAATTAAATAGTTATATTAATTGAATTTATTATTTACTATCCACTACTTGCTTTTTGTTATCCATCATCTACTATTCCCTAATTGCTACTATTATCTATTATCGCTATTTGTTATTTATTACTTATTATTTGTTATCAGTTGAATTTTAACTGTTATGCTAAACAAACACTTAATTGAGTTTTTTTTTTTTTTTTTACTTAAGAGATGTATTAGTGATCAAAAACATTAAATCTCTACTAAATTTTAAGTTTGAGTTTAGGTTTGGAGAGATTTAGTAAAAATAAGAATACAATCATTTTAAAATTTTTTAATTAAAGGTATGTTTTTTTATAATTAATTAAAGTTATCACCTTTTAAATGTTTTTAATTAAACATCTGACTTTCCTAATTTTACTAATAAAAAAATTAAACAAATGTGCATGCTAACGGTGATGAATGAATTTCACTTAATTTTTTATTTGTCTTTATTTTTTCTAAATGGTGATGGTTATATTAGTTTAATACTTTGTTAATAAAATTATAAAAATTATATATTTTAATTCAAAATTTTTGGAGATAAAAAATGTCATATTTTTAATTAAATTTTTTTTTAAAAAATTATATCTTTATTTTTGCTAAATGTTTTTAAAAAATTAGTTTTTATTGTATAAAAAAAAAATTTTTTTTTTTTGAACAATTTTTCTTTGAGATGGGAAAGAGAAACTTGAGATTGAACCAAATTCAACTAGTCTCAAGCCTTTAACGACGCAAGTTAACCTCCAAGTGATGGACAATTTATGTTTTAGTTTTTCCACGAATGCAGTGTGAAAAGAATATTTATAAGGAAACAAACTTTAATCCTTTTTTTTTTTATTTGTTTAAATGTGAAAAATTATTTATTTTATATTAATTAATAAAAATAAATAAAAAGTAGATGGTACTTAATCATGATAGATAAAAATCCAGCTAATGACATTCCCCTTTTTTCTTTGTCAGCCCTAATCAGTGTTTCTTAAAATCCTCAATTTTCCTTTCACAGCCAAACACTCTCCATTCAGCAGACGGGCACAAGCTCTGAGGAGGAGAGAGGTATCATCAATCATCATCGCCACCACCATCACGTCCACCACCACCACCACCACCACCACAACCGCCAAAACCTAAAACCTCCCTTCCTCCTCATCTTCCGTAGTAGCCGCCGCCGCCGCACCACCCCATGGACCAGCAATCCCAGCTCGCCCTCATCCTGGGCCCTGACCTTGCCCCTTTCGAAACCCTAATCACCCATCTCATGTCCTCTGCCAACGAGCAGCGCTCCCACGCCGAGCTTCTTTTCAATCTCTGCAAGCAGTCCGACCCGGATTCTCTTTGCCTTAAGCTCGGTCACCTCCTCCAGTCCTGCAACATCCCGGAGACTCGTGCCATGGCCGCTATTCTTCTCAGGAAGCTCTTGACCCGTGATGATTCATATATCTGGCCTCGCCTCAACATCAACACCCAATCGTCGCTTAAATCGGTGCTTCTGTCTCAAATCCAGGTTCAATCTACTAAGACTTTGTCGAAAAAATTATGTGATACCGTGTCTGAGCTTGCTTCTAGTATTTTGCCGGAAAATGGATGGCCGGAGCTCTTGCCTTTTATGTTCCAGTGCGTGTCATCTGATGTGCCTAGATTGCAGGAGTCTGCTTTTTTGATATTTGCGCAATTGAGTCAGTATATAGGGGATGTTTTGACTCCGTTCATAAAGGATCTTCACGCTGTGTTCTTAAGGTGTTTGAGTGAGAGTTCTAATCCCGATGTTAAGATTGCTGCCCTGAATGCCGTGATCAATTTCATTCAGTGTTTGACGAGCTCCTCAGATAGGGATAGGTTCCAGGATTTGCTTCCGGCCATGATAAGGACATTGACTGAGGCTTTGAATAATGGTAACGAAGCCACAGCTCAGGAGGCATTAGAACTTTTGATTGAGCTGGCTGGAACTGAGCCTAGGTTCTTGAGGAGGCAGCTGGTGGACGTAGTTGGATCAATGCTACAGATTTCTGAGGCAGAGTCACTGGAGGAGGGCACACGGCACTTGGCTATTGAGTTTGTGATCACTCTTGCCGAGGCCAGGGAGCAGGCGCCAGGGATGATGAGAAAGCTGCCGCAGTTCATCAGTAGACTTTTTGCAATTCTGATGAGAATGTTGCTGGATATTGAGGATGATCCTGCATGGCATACTGCTGATAATGAGGATGAGGATGCCGGTGAGACTAGCAACTACAGCGTTGGGCAGGAGTGCTTGGATAGGCTGGCGATTTCCCTAGGTGGAAATACAATTGTTCCTGTGGCGTCTGAGCAGTTGCCAGCTTATTTAGCTGCTCCTGAGTGGCAGAAGCATCATGCTGCCTTGATTGCCCTTGCCCAGATCGCAGAAGGTTGTGCCAAGGTATGGAAAAAGTTTGAATACCTTGATATGTTTGTTGGATTATCTTTTAAGTGCAATAGTTGAGCTGTGATGTACTATTTGGAATAGTTGCTTCTTAGTTAAATTGTTACTTTTTCTTAAGTTTAAAGTTTCTGACTTGCTGCAGATTGCTAGATGTTCTGCATTGTTGTAGGCTTGAGACTGACTAGTAAAATTTCTTTGCCTTAACAAATTTTTTCTTTTGAAGTTTTAATTCTTGTTGTTTCTTGTGTTATTGATTGTACTCCTAGCAAACATCTGACATGTAGAAATATATTCCTGTGTCCTGTCCTTTGTATTTATAATTTATTCCTGTATTTGTAGGTAATGCTAAAAAATCTGGAGCAAGTGGTTTCTATGGTTTTGAACTCCTTTCATGATCCTCACCCACGTGTGAGATGGGCTGCTATTAATGCAATTGGGCAACTGTCTACGGATTTGGGTCCAGATTTGCAGAACCAATACCACCATAGAGTATTACCAGCATTAGCTGCTGCCATGGATGATTTCCAGAATCCTCGTGTACAGGTTAGTGATGGCTATGTAGATATTGTTAACTACTTCTTACTTTATGATTTTGATTTGTACATTTGGAAAATAAGGTTTTCGTCATTTCTGGTCTGCGTTCTTGTTGAAATACCTTTTGCACTTATTAACAATCTGTTATGTGATCAACATGAGAAAGCGTGGGCTGTGGGCTGTCTCTCTCAATAGTCCCTCTGAAATCTCACCTGCTTACTCACTTCTCTCCATAATACCCTAATTCTGAGATTTTTGTAGTTCTGTATCTGGACTGTCTGCTTTAGCTAAATCCTTCTGGCTGGTATCATGTCAGTTAATTCACAGCAGAATGCTTGGATAGTTATAATAAAGAATTAAATTGCTTCATAGAATAAGAAAGAACATGCGAGAATGTGACAGTTTTTTGTTTGACATCTCTATTGGTTGCTGAATGTTTAGGAAATTGTAAGTACCCAGAGAGAAAAATCCTATATTGGTTAATTGCAAGAAAAATCCAGCCAACTATTTGCTACCATAAGTCATTTTTGTGTCTCTCTAACAATTCACCACACTATGTTGTTATATTAATATGAGCACAATGATCAAGATTATTTATTTGTTCAGTAATGGTTTGTTTTCTTATATATTTGTGATCAACAGGCGCATGCAGCTTCAGCTGTGCTTAACTTCAGTGAGAACTGCACTCCAGAAATTTTAACACCTTATATGGATGGTATAGTTAGCAAATTGCTGGTACTTCTACAGGTATATCATTGAAAGTGCCTATGTTGCTTCAATAATTCACATTTAAATTTGTTACACATTATGGAAAGATGTTATTCTTTTCTAAATATCACATTCATCATGCAGAATGGGAAACAAATGGTACAAGAAGGGGCCTTAACTGCTCTGGCATCAGTTGCTGACTCGTCTCAGGTAAATTTCAACCAACACAGAAATCTTGTTGATTGTCAACCCCCACTTGTTTGTAACAATGCAAATTTAACAATGTGGATGATGGGACCATGCAGGAGCACTTCCAGAAGTACTATGATGCTGTTATGCCTTACTTAAAGGCCATTTTGGTAAATGCAACTGACAAGTCTAACCGCATGCTTCGTGCCAAATCCATGGAGTGCATCAGTCTGGTTGGAATGGCAGTTGGAAAGGAGAAGTTCAGAGATGATGCTAAGCAGGTAGCTAGCCTTAGACACGCAAAATGCTGCTACCTTATCTGCTTTTCCTTTTCTAGTTAGTTATTAATTTCTTAAGACCATGACAAATATCAATAGGAGCTGAGACAGTTTTTTCTCCTTTTTGGATGTGGAGGGAAAGTGGTTTTTACAATTGGTTAACTGACAAGCAAAACTTCCCTCCAATATTTGTTTGGGCTTGTATTTAATGTTGTTGCTTTGTTAAAATTGTTTGTCTCTATTCAGATGCATTTAATTATGAGATCATGTATTGCATTTGTTCACATGACTTCATTGTATTTCTCTCTCTACTTTTTGCAAGGTTATGGAAGTGCTTATGTCACTACAAGGATCTCAAATGGAAACAGATGATCCAACAACCAGTTACATGCTACAGGTACGCCCTCAAAATCTCAAATGTTATGTCCATGGGACATCATAATGTTTCCCACACACTATTTCCATGCTCATTACGACAACTTTATAATGTTATAGGCCTGGGCCCGACTCTGCAAGTGTCTGGGGCAAGATTTCCTCCCTTATATGAGTGTTGTGATGCCTCCACTGCTTCAATCTGCTCAGCTCAAGCCAGACGTAACCATTACATCAGCAGATTCAGATAATGAAATTGATGACTCTGATGATGAAAGGTTTACACTTCTTTTTCGCTTAGCTAGTACAAATAAACAATATTTAGTCTTGCAGTATTGTATTTAGAGATGCATCTGTATTACACAGCATGGAGACCATAACTCTCGGTGACAAAAGAATTGGGATCAAGACTAGCGTCTTGGAGGAGAAGGCCACTGCTTGTAACATGCTTTGTTGCTATGCCGATGAGTTGAAGGAAGGATTCTTCCCATGGATCGATCAGGTTCAATTCAATTAATGATAATGAGTTTTGTTCTTCTAGACTTTCCAGCAATATTATACAAAAAAAGTCTGAATTGTGATGCAGGTTGCCCCAACTCTGGTTCCTCTTCTTAAATTTTATTTCCATGAAGAAGTTAGAAAAGCTGCTGTTTCAGGTATAAGTTTGACAGCATACACTTACACCCTTGCTTCTTAAAAAAAAAAGGTTCAGGTGCATGTTCTCTTAAAATTGTTGCACTGTTCTGAACTCTATTGGGAATGCCTCTTGTGTTTTTCTTTTTATTTCTTTTTTTTCTTTTTATTCTTCTTCTTTTTAGCCATGCCCGAGTTGCTGCGATCTGCAAAATTAGCTGTAGAGAAGGGGATGGCTCAGGGGCGTAATGAGACATATGTAAAGCAATTGTCTGACTACATTATTCCAGCTGTGGTGGAAGCATTACATAAGGTTATCAGTGTTTAATTTTATGGATTGAGTATCCTCTATCAATTTTCTGATGTTCTAAACTTCTAATCTTTATAATTCTCTCACATTTTTTAAAGTGTCTGACTTATAATATGCTTGCAGGAACCTGATACTGAGATCTGTGCAAATATGTTGGACGCATTGAATGAATGCATACAGGTTTGTCAGTTTTCGCATAATGTACATTTTGATTTGCATTTGATTCAATGCATTCAACTTCTTTTCCCCTATGAATTTCCTTGGCCTTTTACTTTGTGAGATTTGTGAGTAAATATCTCTTCTGATGAAATATTCTAAATTTATCTTTCCTCCTCCTATCTATCATTTCTTCTCTAATGCTGTCTCTTTGTGCATTTGAATGTGATGATGCTTCTCTTGGTGGTTTTAAGTGAAGAATTTCTTTATTATAATCCTGATTTACTGTGCCTTTGTTGTTGATTTATTTCTTGTGGAACTTATGATTCTCATCTTTCAAACTACACATTTCTTTTTCCAGATCTCTGGTCCACTTCTTGACGAAGGCCAGGTAAGATCCATTGTGGATGAGATCAAACAGGTAATTACAGCTAGCTCAAGCAGAAAAAGAGAGAGAGCTGAGAGAACCAAAGGTGAAGATTTTGATGCTGAGGAGAGCGAGTTGATTAGAGAGGAAAATGAGCAAGAAGAAGAGGTTTTTGACCAAGTAAGTCTTCTCATATCATCTAATTTGTAGAGCTCAGAAGAAGCAAAGAAAACATTTGCTTATCTGGTCTGCTTTTTTCCATCCTAGATCAATAAAGTTCCTATTTCTTGCCTTAAAAGACCATATTTGCTTCCAGGTGGGCGAGATCTTGGGAACATTGATCAAAACATTTAAAGCTTCTTTCTTGCCTTTCTTTGATGAGCTATCTTCATATCTCACACCTATGTGGGTAAGTTCTTTGACAATAATGTAGCTTTTTATGTTAGATTTTGTGTTTGTATTCTGTGATTTATGCATCAGAGTTAATTTATGGTTCTTGACTAAAGTTATGAAAGTGTTGCAATTTAGAAAAGTTAGAAAACTTCTGCTCTGCTTTGACCCTGTTTTGGTCATATATTAGCCTAAGGATCCTGTAGATTTATTTTATTTGGTATTTTAAAGGGGAAGGAACAAACCAAAAAAGGAAAGGAAAAACTATACACATTAAGTAGCCTCATTTGTGTCATCTCTCTTTACATCTTTTCATGGCCTGAGTGTCTTTTAAATGCAGGGCAAGGATAAGACAGCTGAAGAGAGAAGAATTGCTATTTGCATTTTTGATGATGTTGCAGAGCAGTGTCGGGAGACAGCTCTTAAGTAAGATGCTTAATTTAAATAGACCTTCATACTAATTGTCTTCATGAAATGCTTATTGATGCAATTACGTCAAAATGGTTGAAACAGATATTATGACACATATCTTCCTTTCATATTGGAGGCTTGCAATGATGAGAATCCAGATGTCCGACAGGTCTGCTCTTGCTTAGATCTAGTAACCAAAATGCCTAAGGTTATCAATGATCTCATTTGAATTGTCTGTTTATCTGTTTCAGGCAGCTGTCTATGGGCTTGGTGTTTGTGCAGAGTTTGGAGGATCTGTATTTAAGTCTCTTGTTGGAGGTAAGTTTTCATGATTGTCTATGGAAGTATCGTTTTTGAAGTTGCATTGATATATTATTTGTGGTTTTGTTCAGAGGCCCTGTCAAGGCTGAATGTTGTAATACGGGATCCTAATGCTCTCCAACCTGAAAATGTGATGGCATACGATAATGCTGTTTCTGCTTTAGGAAAAATTTGTCTGTTCCATCGCAACAGTATTGATGCAGCTCAGGTATTGGAATTTGTTCTGCCAGTCTCAGTTTGATAACATTGCCATGGAAGTAAAAGGAGCTATTCTCTATTTTTAGGCATCCATGTATCTGTCTACAATTTTCTTCTTTTCTTTATGGAACAAGTGTTTTCCATACAACATTTCTTTCCATGCATGAAAGTAACACTTGTGTGTGTGGGTAGCTTATATCTTGTGATGTTTGGTAGGTTGTACCTGCATGGTTGAACTGCTTGCCAATTAAGGGTGATTTGATTGAAGCCAAAGTTGTTCATGAACAACTTTGCTCAATGGTAGAGAGGTGATGTGTTGGGCTTTCTTCATAAATGCACTATGTTATCATTTCTCTTGTTTAAATAGGCTTTGATTTACCTTTAAAGTACAATACTAACTGGGGTTTGTTATCCATTTACAGGTCAGACAGTGAAGTTTTGGGTCCAAATCATCAATATCTTCCTAAAATAGTTTCTATATTTGCTGAGGTAAAATTAACACATTAGACAATTGTACAAGTTTATTTCTGGATAGTAGTTTTAATAATTATTTATTTTAATCAGTACAATCACTAATTCTTAATTTATGGTTCCTTCCTTTTCACCCCATGATCTCATACAACCTTGATGAAAATATCATGTTGAGTTGTTCCCTGAATAAATGAGATTTGGTTGAAGAATACATTTTCTTACCAGTAGTCATTTTTCTTGTAGGTTTTATGTGGTAAGGATCTAGCAACAGAACAAACTGCTAGTCGTATGGTAAATCTGCTGAGGCAGCTTCAGCAAACTTTGCCACCAGCAACATTGGCTTCTACATGGTCATCTCTGCAGCCCCAACAGCAGCTTGCTTTGCAATCCATTCTCTCATAGTAAGACGTGGTTTATGAGCATCCGAATGGCTTTTCTGGAGGAATGCAATGTCCCATGTGTGGTCTGAAGCATATTCATTAGCCCATTCTTTTCCCTAAGATGGTTCCCATTGTTTGGTCTCATGGTCTGCATATGATATTTTGCATCAAGCTGGCGTTGGTTTGATCGTGGGTTCAAGTCATTGCTGTGGTTAGAATGAGTGAGTCATTTTTGTAAAATGTGTATATTTACAGAGTTTTGATTTATAATCGGCCTGGAAGAGATAAAGACAGGTGATTGGTGGCTTGTGAGAGCATTTTTCTGTCAGTGCATGGGGTTTTGATGATTGCCAGGGAGGTAATTCTTGTGGCATTTTTGGTCTCAAATATGTTTCTCGCAATTTTACACATAGTCCTTGATTGTGAATTTTTGATTATATATGGACCAGAATTTTGAATGTTTATTCTTTCACGATGCTTGCAATTTTGATCTAATAAGCAATGAAAGAATGGGTTGCTGGTTTCTCAATACAAGGAAGTGCAATCATTTCCTGTTCTTGTTTACCGTTCATTAATGGCATTATGCACAGAAGAAAAGGTTTAGGCACTATACAGGCATGATTTGACAAAATTATAGCATCCAGAATGACGAACAAGATGCCAAAGAAGAAAAGGTTTAGACACTATACAGGCATGATTTGACAAAATTATAGCATCTGGAATGATGATGAGCCTCGAAGGTAGACACAATCTCGCGTTACGATTGTCTAATTGTTACAGACAGATTGAATATCGTTCAGGCAGGTTTTAAAATTGTTTCATCTTTTAGAAAATATATGTTAAAGAATTCTCGGTAAATGTGTTTATGGGTACAACTGCTAAAATTATTTTTCTCTTATGTTTCTATTGTTTAAAAAAATTATAAAAAATAAAATAAAATTCTTTGAACAAAGTATAGACATTGTTTTGTTGAACTGAAATTGAAATGATAACGCTGGTTATTAAACAGTTTATAAAAGGACAAAACACATACTTGGATTGGTACCAGCAATGAAAAGAACACCCATTCCAAATAACCAGAAAATGTCAAAATAAAGAAGGGTGGATGGTCCCGAACCCGATGAAGTTTGCTTGGATTATCTTCGAAAGAACTAAATAAAAACAACAACAGATCATCACAAAAATAACATTTCCTCCTTGAAATAACTACCATGTATTTAGGAAATGGATGAGTCTGATGGACATGTTTCAAGATGACATTCCCCAAATTTATTGGACCACATATGGAAAATCTAGTTTTCGTGCTTAGCCATTTTTGTTGTTTTTCTAATTCCGATGCTTTTCATGCAACATTTCTTGTTGGTCTATGTGAATGAGGTATATAATGAGATTGGGAGGTGCTAACTATTAACTATTTTGGGTTTAATGCATGTCATGGCTTATTGATCCACGTAACAATTCAAATCATGTTTTTTTTTTTTTTGATATTGGTTATATAATGAGAGGCAACAATCTCACATTTCTTATTTCACCATACTCACATATTATACAACTTGAACTTAAAATTTTTTACTTTCAATAAAAAAATATTATCATTGAATTATTTAAATTATTGGCACAATTTAAGTCATGTTAAGGTTTTAGAAACTATATATAAGATTTCTCCATTAAGCCTCCTCATGTGTTCTCTTATTATTGCGATATCCATTTTTAACTTTCAAAAGTGTATGAGTAAATTTTATTATCAATGATGATAACTCTCATAACTTATTCTAAGTTTTAAATTTGAAACTTTTACAAATGTTCAATATAAAAATTCAAGTTCTTGATTTAGGAGATGCTCAAAATTTTGCTTTTGTGGCCGTACTCATGAGCAACGGTAGCGGCGGTGGCCGGTGAGAGGGGTATAGGGGTGGAGGACATTCCAGCATTTTTTGAAAGATTCGGAGAATCCATTGCTAGGTGGAGGCCAGCCCAGGTGCAGCATGCGACCAACATGGCTCTAGGGAGCTGAAGATAAAATCCTCATGAAGCGCACCGCGGCCCTGATATTCCTCAAACTGTATTTTCCGTATTATCCTTATTTCAGACTCCCTTTATTTATTTTTATTACTTTTAATTTAACTTTTTGATTTTTCAAATATAAAATTTAAATAAAAATTTAACCATTTATATAAATAATAATTGAAATTTTTTTTCTTCCTACATGAAATTTTTGTTAAGTACTTTTATTTTCTCAAAAAATATTTCCAATTATCATCTATATAATATATTAAATTTTCATTTAAAATTACTATTTAAAAAATCAAAAAAATCAAACTAAATCTATTAAAATAAATGAAGGAAGTAAAATATTTTATTTTAATCCGTTTACAATAGCATATTATAACACATATCATTATATAATTATTTCTTCCATTTACTGTCGAAATTCAGACAAATTAAAACGCAGGAAGATCCAACTTATCAAACTGATTGGGAAATGATTATTAGAAACAGGGATATGGAATTTCTTATTTGCACTTTAATACCTGTTTTGGCAGCTTCACGATCCAATACTGTAAATACCTTTAACTGCTTTAACACCTGAAATTTTCAAAAATGTTTCATCAGGGAAAACACTCCGACGCTTAAGTTAGCAATATTTAATATTCTAAAAAGAGAAACTCTCCAAGAGTAATTGCAGAGAGAAAAGTATAGTAGAGTTAATACCTTGGATGGAAGTGGTTGAGGGTATTTATAACCCCATGTACTGACATGAACCTACATGTGTATGCCCCCATTGGTCTATGTGTTATTGCCCATGTGGGTATATATCCTCAATTTAGGGCTCGTAAATGTATAACTGGACCTGTTGGACACGATCCAGATTGGATGTTGGGTCCAATCCCAACAATACCTAGATCTGATCTAGTGGTGACTTTAGCCCACGAGAAAAGCAAGGGCGCCTGCTTATTGCTTATGCAACAGAAAGCCAATTTTGTAGGACTTTTAGTTTCTCCATCTTCCAATTTGATGACAAAAATTGTTATACTATTTTTTGGGGAGGTTAGTTGTTCCAATGCTATGATAAAGACGTCACGTTTAACATTGAACAAACACAAAGAAAAACGTAATCAATTCCGTATCGTCCTACCATAAGTTAGCTAAGCGTTATTGGCTGAATTTGCTGCATCCATACAAAATCGTGTTTTAGACAAAATAAACTAGCTCCATTCCATGCGTTTAGATTACAAGTGTACTCAAATAATTAAATCACATTATTATTAATAGAGATTAATAAAAAGAAAAGATTATGAGACAAAAAGAAAAAAAAAGTCTCACCTGATTGAGCATGTAATGTATCAGCGTGCATATCTGACTTTTTGGTTACAAAATCCGTTGAAATATGTAAGTAATAGTTTAGCCACCAGACAAAACATGCATGCCTTTGAAGTTTTGGTGATGAAACTTCACCATTTTTTTCAATCGAACCCTTTTTCAAGTGGATGATAATTAATAGTAAGTAGCAACTATTTCTTTGCTTTTCTTTCTTTCTTTTAACTAAAACAACTCCAAATTCAAGATAACTATTCAATTACTACATTTTGTTGAAGGTTTAATGGGAGCTAAAATCCCAGGACATATTAAACCTTTGAGTATATATATCCTTGGAATTTAGTACCTTATTAACCTACAAGGATTCTTTAGGATATATGTTTGGTTAGAGGAAGAGAAGGGAGGAATGGATTATTTTTCATCAATCATATTACAATATTTAAAAACGTTATAATTTGATATGATAAAAAGTTCATCCACCCCTTTATATATTTCTTTTTATTCTTTTTAAATCAAACATATACTTAGTGATTATCATTACATATTTACTACTTTGTATGATAACATTTTATAAAAAATAAAATAAAATAAGGCTTCGTTTAGTATAGTTCTGGGTTTGAGTTTTTAGTTTTAATTTTTTTTTATAAATTTTACGACTCTAAATAAAAATCTCTTTTATTTTAATGTGTTTTTTAATATATTATTATAATTATTAAAAAATAATAAATAATAGTTTTAATACTATTAAACAAAGAAGGAAAAAAGAAAGTCTGGACATCTTAACATTAAAAATATCAAGATATTTAATAATAGTTACATGATAAATTTAATAAAATTAGAGTTGACACTATATACTATACATTTAATAGTTGTTATTGAAAGCCTTAACATTTTAAATGTTAAAATATTTTGATTTTTTTTCTCAATAAAGAAATATATGCAGTTGTTAGTATTAAAATTTGATTTAAAAAGTTTTAATTTTCAATTATTAGTTTTAGTTTTTAATAATTACAAAATTTATAAAAACCAAAATAAAAAATCTAAAATTATAACTATAGTAAACAAACTCTATCAGTTCAAATTAGAACAAATAGTATAATTTTAATCACTAAATGAAAATGTATATAACTTAATTCGATATTAAAGGTTTTTTTTATTTAATAATTTTTATTTTATAAATTTGGACAATTTAGACAACAATAATATCTCAAAAAAATTTTTACCTCGTAGTACATCCCCTTTTACAAGGGCAAAATAGTCCACTAAATACCAAAATGAAGAGAATGGCTCCGTTGCTTTGAGCATAACCCAATCTGCTCCACATGTCGCACAAAATATAAAAGTGAAATTACCAAATTTTCCTCATCACTGTTGGGAGCTTGGAGGGAAGCAAAATCAGAACCGATACCAATGCAAGGGTTTGTGCCTGTTTTGGTGGTTCTATTTTAATTAGCCTCCCTTTCCTTCTTTCATTTCTCTAGGCAGATAACATCTCTCCTCTCTTTCTTCTTCTCACCACCTTCCTTTCTTGGTCCATTCTCTGAATCTACAACATGGGAGAGGTGAAGAAGCCGCAGCCTTCTGGCGTATGGCCAACAGTCAAGCCTTTTGTCAATGGGGGTGCGTCTGGTATGCTTGCAACCTGTGTCATCCAACCCATCGATATGATCAAGGTACACATTATGGGCATTTTTGTGGTAGATCAGTTTGTTTCTTTTGCTTGGGGTGTTAAAAGTTGTGTCCTTTTTAGCTCAAGGTGTGTTTTTTCAGATCTGGGAATTGATTAGACTGGGTGGTATTGGAAGGTTGTGGGTTGTTTTGTGGTGTTTTCTGGTTTAATGTGGGATGTGTTTTGATGGGTTTTTTGTTGTTTTGGCTTGTTCTAGGTGAGAATCCAACTGGGTCAGGGATCGGCTGGAACAGTGGCAAGGAACATGCTTAAGGAGGAGGGTTTTGGTGCCTTTTACAAGGTTTGGTTTTACGGATTGATTGAAGTTTTCAACTTTTGTGTGTATCATTTATGGCTGATCTACTTTTCATGTATTTAATTTTGTTTCTTAAATTATGGAATCTGTTTTTAAAGATAGGGATAGATTACTCGAATGGATTAGCGGGGTTCAAGATGTAGTATTTAAGGTTTTTATTAGACGGGTCTGTATTCCATTCATTTGGGTTGCCATAAAGATTAGAATCTGAGTCCATAGTTTTCAAATTGGTGCATTTTTTTGTGAAATGGGGTTTATATATTGGCCTGATGATACTTCTAAGGAAGATGAAATTTGTTAGTTTATGCTTGCATCTCTTCCATTGTCTGATGGTGAGCCTATTTGAATGGAATTGGAAGCCTATAACTGTTTCGTAGAGGTCCTATGTTGGGAAAATGGCTTTAATTAGCTGATAATCTGTTGTTTGCAATTTCCCAATTCACTGCTGGGTTAGGATTTCCGAGCGAAGTTATGAAAATGATTTCTTATACTCATGAGTGTGGTTACTTACCTAGGCTATTTTGAGCAGGGCTTATCTGCTGGGCTGCTGAGACAAGCTACATATACCACTGCCCGACTTGGATCATTCAGGTGAGTGTTTGTGACGATATCATTGTTTGGAATTGGAGTCTTTGAGAACAAACTGTCCTAGAAACTTTATATCAGGCATGAATTAGATGTTTGAGTTGTGAATTTAGTAATTTTTCCTTTTTGTTTCTTGCAGGATATTGACAAACAAAGCTATTGAGGCCAATGATGGGAAGCCCCTGCCATTATATCAAAAGGCTTTATGTGGTCTGACTGCTGGAGCTATTGGTGCATGCGTTGGCAGTCCTGCAGATTTGGCACTTATCCGTATGCAGGCTGATGCCACATTACCTGTTGCTCAGCGCCGGAATTACAAAAATGCTTTCCATGCCCTTTATCGTATTGTTGCAGATGAAGGGGTTTTGGCACTTTGGAAAGGTGCAGGCCCTACTGTTGTAAGAGCAATGGCTTTGAACATGGGAATGCTTGCCTCTTATGATCAAAGTGTTGAGTTTTTCAAGGATTCCCTTGGCTTTGGTGAAGCTGCAACAATACTAGGTAAGGTCCTTTCTCTGTAGTCTCTATACTTTCTTGGAGGTTTTTGTTTGTATTTAAATTCTGAGTTAAGAAATAAGTCATACAAAATTTGTTACGAATGGTTCTTTGTTGAACTTGACTTAAAACATAGGAAAGTAATCCATACACAAACCAGGAAGCTTTATAATTGGGGAAAGTATCTTTGACAGAACAAAGAATGTTATTATTGTTGCACCACTCCATCATATTACACTTTCGTAAGACTTGTGTATTTCACTTTCAAGTCTATATAGTTATGGACATGGGAGCAACAAGGTGCTCAAAAAGGAAACCTGAAGAAAATTCTGGGATATTTAGTTAGTGATAAAGTATCTTGAACTCTCATTGCATTATCATCTATTTTTGTTTCTGTTGCTTTTAATAATGTCATTTTTTGTGTTTCTTTTTGACTTCCAGGGGCAAGTACTGTTTCAGGATTCTTTGCTTCAGCTTGCAGTTTACCCTTTGATTATGTTAAAACACAAATCCAGAAAATGCAACCTGATGCTGAGGGAAAGTTTCCATACACTGGCTCTATGGATTGTGCCTTGAAAACACTCAAATCTGGAGGACCGTTCAAATTCTACACAGGATTCCCTGTCTACTGTGTTAGAATTGCTCCCCATGTCATGGTACATACTCTCTTACTCTTTTTTTTGCAGAATGCTTACAAACAACCATTTACATGTCTTCAATTGTTCAATGTTTCCTTGTGCAGATGACTTGGATATTCCTCAACCAGATCCAAAAGTTGGAGAAGAAAGCAGGACTATAAATGGAGTGGGGACTTTTATTGGATCAAGGGTCAAAAATAAAATTATCTGTTGGTTTTGCTGTTCTCTTTTTTGCTGGTTCGACAATTTCACACCCTCGAAACCAAACCATTTATTTACAAATTTTGAACTGAAGTTGAATAGGATCAGTTTAATTTGTTACAAATTATTGTTAGGGTACCATCTCGGTTGATTCGAAAGACTCGAGAAAATACAAGTGAATAATTATTGTACTCTGAAAACAGGTACGGGGCATGAAGATTTGTTCTTCATGAACTGATTCTAGAACCAGGGACTGACTTACCCTTTTCATCGAGTTTCTTGAGAATTTTTTCTCCAGTTATCTGCTCGCTATATCTTTTCCTGGTTTTTTAGGTTGTGTGGGTGGCTCTGCGGTTGTTTTGGACAATTTTGGAGAAAATTTGAGTATTATTCGCAAATCCATCCTCATATGACGTAGATAAGAGTCTGTTTTGCTCTTAATTTTGTTTTAAAATTCATCAAGGAGCCCCAGATCTCGATGTGATGTTTAGCAGATGGTAACTTTAAGGAAAAAGATCGTAGCAGGACTATGATCTTAAAGCTTAAAAAGAATTATTGCATTAAACACTAAAATAATGATATAACTAAACTGATTCTTAAGCTCAAACAAAGAGTTTAGTGAAAACAATTCACTAAAGAGCAATTGTAAACATATGTATTACAAAATATCTACCATCTTCTTGCCTCTCTCCTGGTCCAACATTATCATAGTTTTTTAGATATAACACTGCGCGAATTGGATATGTAGAACAATCAATATAAAATAATTTATGGCGGAACAGAGACTCAATCCCAGATTCTCCTCAAAAAATAAAGTGGCGGATGAATGTATTATTTGTTGGACCTGGAAAAGAATAAACATTCGTTATCATGACTTCCACAGGACTGTCTTTCATTTGCTTTAAGGTCGGACAACCGGAAACTATTCCTCTCCATTACATTGACAACAAAAACATGCAGATGCAAAGCTATCATTTTAGTAGTCAAAAGGAGTAAACAAAACAATGTAAGTAAAATAAAATGATCCCTCACACGAACAATGTAGTGAAATTTACCTGCCAACGAATGAGTTATCTTCAGTGTTTATAATTACTTCTTCACCAGTTTCAAGGTAAGACGGTATCTGGGATAATCAAAGTATGAATATGACAAAACTATTAAAGTCTTCCTGGGACCAGGAAATGCTAATTTAGCAACACAGGCAGGTCATAGATGAACCATAAAGAAAAGGCTGCATGTTCACTTACTTGAACAGTGAGACCATTATCCAGCACGGCCTTTTTATACCTGCATTTGTAATATATAGAGAAGCGTAAGGAGAGAATGAACACTTTTGCAAGCAAAGAATTTCAGCTCTTAGAAATTTTACTTGATATGTTCTTTCTAGGGGTCCACGTATATACATGCGTGGTAATGGTTAAGAGACATTGTTCCAATCTCATAAGAGAATAGTAATGCTATATTGCCAATCCAAAAATAAGAGAATTATTCAATGAACAGTCTTAGCATGTCAGCTTAATGTCATAACTAAAATTTTAACTCATAAATAAGTGAAATGACAAGATATATTTAAAAAAAAAAAAAGAATAAAGGGTAAATACCAGAGAAATTGATATTGTAAGAACCTGAACAAGCATCAACAGAATGAAAAACATACCGTGGTGTGATTGATACAGCCTTCATTGAAGGTTGTGTTTCCTTAATGGTGCATGTCACATGTTTTGGAACTGATCCAGACAAAGGTCTTCCATCAAATAGCTGCAACCTAACTTTCATTTCCTCTGTTCCACATTAGATGAAATCTTGTAAAAAGAAATGTTAACAATCATAAATCATCAGATGAAACCAAAATGCTGCCATCACCAGAGAGAGCCAATAGAAGATTATACACAAACACACAGACGCACATGTCAGGAAGATGGGAATCTAGCTTAACATCAAGTTTACAAATCAAAAAGATAAGAGAATAAAGTATTGACCATTAGATTTGTCCAAAGCTGATAGTAATTTGCTCTTACTGGTGTAATGGCTATGTGCAAGGGTGGGTGTCCTGAATCTAATTGGAAAAAGTCATTCCCAATATAAAAAAATGGCTGATACTCATCAAGTAAAATATGACTTGTCTAACACTCAAATTACATTGAATGAAATGCAATAAAGATGACAGTTGGCAAAAGAGGTGTATGTGTATGGTAAGGGTGCATAGTTTGCAAGTTTGCAGTGCTATATGTAGTAGTACTGATTACAGACAGTGTGTTTAACAGCAATGGCTGGGAAGACTAACAATAATGTCAGTCAATTGTTATAACTGCAAAGAGATTATCCCACACACCAACCTTTTAGATATGTGGCAGATTTGCCAAATATGTCCAGTGATACTTGCAGTTGCTCATATGTATCAGGCCTGATAAGCATTATATATGGTAAGAACAACAATGAACTTGTTACAGTAAATATCTTTGACTAAGAAAGAAACTCAGAACAGAGACTTCACACTGCAATGAGCCAATGCCACTTACTCAATTAGAAATGCAGTGTCGTTTTCTGTGTACAAACATGTGAAAGATTTCTCTTCAACAAATACTCCTGCCAATCATATGGAATCAATCTAACATGTAATGACAATAATTTCGATTATAGAATTATCATAGTTGCTCCCTAAACACACTAGCAATGGATGGAATGATTGTTAAATGAGGCCAAGGATATCTATCTATCTAGTATTTAGCTCAAGGTCAAACCAAACAACCAGTGTAGATCAGAACCCACTATTGCAGCAATAATTGAGAAATTCTACAAAATAGGGTGCATACTTTCAACAGGCTCCTCAGTGCCAAACCGTAAGCTTACTTTGTTTCCAGTGTCAACATCACGAAGCTCCATCTACAATAAAAATGAAAAAAGAAAAAAGAAAAAAGAAAACTTAAATTTCATTCTTTCATCTAGCCAGTTCACTAGAACAACAAGAAGCGTGAATTTTTGAAACCACCACCCAGAATCAAACCTGTATCATTGCTCCTCCTCTACCCCGCTGCCTATGCTCCGATCCGATCACCTACAAAATCGATTTACACAAACAAATTCAACGTAAATCACATCCTCATAAAACAAAAACATTATTGAAATAAAAACATTGCAGAAAAATTCTTCACCTGGTAAACACGCCCTGATACAGACATACATTTCACAAATAGAAGGAAGCTTTTGTCAGTCGTTTACAATTGAAGCAAAAAGTAACGCTAAAATGAGACGAAAAAGCAACCTGTTTTCTCAATGACATTCCCAGGTCTCACCTGCACCGGAATTAAGACTAAATAAAAAATTAAGCTTCAAAATCAAACATCAATAAGTTCCAGTCAATATATAACATACGTTGATGGCGTTCACTTTGACGCCGCGGTTTTGAATGGCGGACCACGGGGATCGAAGCAGGCTGGAACCGACATTTCCATTGGCAGCCGGGGAGGGGCGGTGAAAGGCCGGGGACGATAACGAGGGAGACGGTGAGAGTAGGGAAGATAGCGAGATTGTAGTCAAAGTTCTACTTGAAGTATGGCAGAGGAGAGACCTCGAGAAGAGCTTCTTGCTCAGCCGGAGAGCATTCATCTTCAAGAAAGCCGCAAAATTTTCGAAATTGGATGGAAAGGGGGCAGCCGACTTTGTGCTTTTTAGACTTTATAGAGCTCCGGCTCGGTGCTATCACGCCGTTTTCTTTTAGATGCCCCCTGACCTGAGAAGAACGCCGCCGTCCGCTGCTTTATTAGAAAGCGTGAAATCTAAGTCCTTTTGACGGAAACGCCGGTGTAAATTTCGACCCGGTTTGTTGACAAATGGAGCTCCAACCCCAGTATTTTTTTTTCTTTTCTTTCCTTTTCGTTTTTGGTAAAAATAATATTTTTCTTATAAATTTCTAGAAATCTTCTTTCCTAAGTTTCATATTTTTAATATTTTCAAATGGATTAAGGATAAAACATCATATGAAAATATCAAAATATTTTAAATAAATTAATACATAAAAAATTTATTTAAAATATATAATTAATTTCACAATAAATTTTAATATTTAAAGTATTAAAATATTTTAAATTTTAAATTTTTTAAAACTTCAACCAATGTTTTTTTGATAAGTTTTATATTTTTCATGTTGGACTTTACAAAAGAAATTATTAAAATATCATTAGCAAAATAATATAATAAAGACTTTTATTAAAAATATTTTAATAAATTCATAAGGTTATTAATTTAAAAAATATTTTTATTTTTCTTATTAAATCTATAATTTTACAATCTATATTAAGTGAGTTGTATAATTTATAACTATTGATATGAGGGAGATATATTGAGAGGTATGTTTCTCATTAATTATAATAAGATTTGTTATTAGTTGGATTGCATTTTTTATTTATTATTTATATGTTAATAGTACTTTTAACTAATTTTTGTAGTGATGTTTACAATTTTTTTAGTTATTTTTTTTATTAAACTTCAATTAGGCAGGCTCTTAGTTATGTCATGGAAATTTGTAATTTAAATTTTATACATAAATTCTCTTTCTTTTAGGTTTTTAATGTAAATTTTTTTTTAGTTATTCTTAATAAACAAAAAAAAGTATTTCAAGTGGAATAAAATCCCGAAAAAAAAACCGCGTAGATCCGTGTCTATTTTGTCTTTGACCCGTTACAATTCGGACCCCTAACGGCAAAAATTTACTCTTCCCCAAGTGACGAAATCAATCGCGCTTTCCAGAAGGAAGAAAAGCTTCGACTTTTGTGCAGTGAAGAAGAAGAAGATACTCGTGCTCCAGTTCTGCAACTACAGGTACGATTCCTTAGTCTATCTGCTTCTTCTTCTCCGAGCTAATTTGGGTTTTCGCTTTTGATTTCCCGTTTGATTCCGGAGGAATCGTAGGTAAAGAGAGGGAAATTTCTCGACATCTGCTTCAATTCAAGATTTCTACTTTTCATTTTCATTTTCATTTTCTACGTTTGGTTAGGGTTTTTTCGGTATCTAATTTGTTGATTTTTGAAGTTGAAGCTTCTGGTTCGATTTGAAATGAGAGCAAAAGAGTATAATCATCAAAGTCACCATTTTTTCTAATGATGTAATGCTATTACTTCAATTGCTTGTTAATAAGTACTGAATTGTCTGTGAATTCCTATGCTGTTATTTGCAGGAGGAGAACTTGAGATGTGTTTTACTGAGAAGGTTAAGGGTTAATCAGAGAGTGGGAGGTTTAGCTACTAGTCAGTGATGTGGACAAATGTTTTTAGAATTGTATGTTGCTTCTGTTCTTTTTAAGTTTTTAGTCTTGTTTTATTAATGCTCGTGCCTATTTCAAAGTTGATTATTCCATGGTTTTGATTCCTTAGTTAAGTATTGTTTGTAAACTTTGAAGAACTGAGTGGAAGTAAAGAATCTGACAGTAAGCAATGAGGTTGAAGTTTAGGGCATGAAATTTGGGATCTTTTTTGTGAAAATTCCTATGAATCAATGATACAGCATTCTCTGTAATGAATCATAATATAATGTGAACTCTTAATGGTAGAAGTCAATGCACATGTGCTATTTATAAATATTCAGTTTTATAGAGTATTGTTGAAAGATACTGATTTCCTCTTCCAAATGAAGCCACGATGCAAATTTGGGAGCAGCATTTCCAGCTGCTATTTCATGTTGTTAGGTGATTGTTTTAAATAGAGGGATTTATTTTTTTAATTTATAGTAATCTGCCGATAGAGTTAACATTTTTTTAGTAACATGAAGTTGTTTGCCAGGTTGAAGGGGCCTGATTTGTACTTTGTTATGCATGATGTCATCTTATGTATTAAGTGTCATGTAAATTTATCACAAAGCTCTCTTTCCAATTTTCTTTGTGTACTGATATGTCAGTTGCATAATTATTTAACATTTTTACAGGGAGGTCTCCATCAAATATCATGGTTCCAGTTTCTCCCTCAGGAATCCGATCTGAACCCTCTGCCAGACAAAAGGTTAGAATCTGGAAATTTCATCTTTTTCTTTTCTGCCTGCAGGGTTTATTTAAAAAGCTAGAGTGATGATTCCATATTGGAGTTCAATAGAGTGTAAATTATTAGAAAGTTTAAATTCCTTGACTCTGAGCAGTGGAAAAGCCGAGCAGAAAGATGGTGCTACATTGCTAGTTCTCTCATCTCATCTGCAGCTGCAGAAGGAGGGATTTCTAAGCACATGGACAAATTCCTTTGTTGGACCGTGGGATCCATCTCAGGGTTTGCACAATCCTGGTAAGGGTCCATAACGTGGACATTGATTATGTTGGACTCTCAGAACTTTAATCTCACTAAGAAGAGGAGGATAATTACTCCATAACCTAATTGGCCTTTTTCATTTAATTTGCTGTGCAGACGAGAAAATTAAGCTGTGGCTTTTTCTTCCTGGACGTTATTCATCTGTTGTGGAGCGTGCTAACGCTGCAGTGTCTAGGTTAAGAGGTAAGGTGTATCACTTATTCTTTGTGGCTGTTCACATTTCTGCTATGTTGCATCCTCCATTGCTCCTTTATTTATTAGTCTGTTCAGAGAAGAATCTTGGTTTCCTCCTGCTTTTACTTCATTTATTGAGCATCTATATCTACACTACGTTATTTTGTCAAATATCATTGCACTTTAAACTTATTATTTATTTGCTTTCTGAAAGTTGTTGCATCTGGGCTTTGGTTGGCTCCTGGCAATTCTGAGGAGGTTGCTACTGCCCTTTCTCAAGCTTTAAGGAACTGCATAGAAAGGTTTCTTGCTATCATTTTTTTATACGTTGAGTTGAAATATCATGTAGGATATTTCTTGATCACTCCCTGGTTCAATTGACAGGGCACTGATTGGACTTTCCTATGTGAGATTTGGCGATGTTTTTTCTAAGTATCATCCATATCAAAATGAAGAGTCTTTCAGGTACATCACTTTCACTGTTGATTTGCAGAAGCTTAACTACAAGAAGCTTGTTGTTTATTGACAGGGAAGATGGTCACTCTAACTAAAATAACATAGGTAATAAGTTATATGTGGAAGGGACCACTTCAAATGTTCATTAAAACTCATTACTAGTTTTGACTTGACTTCTGGATTTTTTCATCCCTTCACAATTCCTAATGTTTGCTTTAAATTTGTCTATTTTCTTTTGGCTTTGTTTTCTGTATGGTGGAAATGTTCTTCTATTTATTGTATGTTCCTCTATTTATTGTTGTTTCTCTCTCTCTCTCTCTCTCTCTCTCTCTCTCATGAACTTGTTGCTTTCTTCTGGCAAGTACTTATCTTTTTTATGATTCTTTAACCATTAATGATGTGCTTAATGATAACTATTGCTCAAGGTATGTTTGGATTTGAAACATAATTCAAGAATCCTTTTTTTTTTTTTCTTTTTCCTTTGGGAATATTACCATTTGTATCGGTGTTTCCCTTCCTGAATAACTTTTTATCAGTTTTTGCAGGAAAGGACAGCCAACAGTTGAGTTCATCTTTTCTGCAACTGAAGAGGCAGTCTTTGTGCATGCTATAATATCCGCAAAGTTCGTGAAACATTGCATTTTAGTTTTTTGCCAGTGCTTCTGACATTATTATGTTGCAGTTGGTCCTCAGTACCTTTTTTGCCTTTTGTATGGAAGTAATACCCATGTCAATTTCTTTCAGGCATATCCGTGCACTTTCAAGTGGTGATGTGGATAGAGTATTGGAGCATTCTTCTAATAACTCCAATTACAGACTTCCTGGTTTGTTTATGCTCTTCTGTCGATTTTTGTTCTTTAAATGATTTTAAAAGGTTTCCATGAAAACTTGCATTTTTGCAAGTAGTCTGTGCGTTCATCTGTGCATGTGCATTAAAGAGTGTGTTGTTGCAGACTGTATCTTGGATTTGGGTCTTTTTTCTGCCATTGAAATTAGTTTCCAATCTCTGCTTGGAGGGTGGGTGACATACTAGTAAAGTTGGGGGAAACTTCATCCTGGGCATTGGCAGATCTTCTGGTCCCTAAAGTTTTGGAAATCTCTCTAGATATAAATTTGGATCACATTAAAACGCCTAAAGTTCTTGACCCTTCCAAGTCCAAGACTCCAATATATGTCTTTATGTCCTGCCACTGAAGTGGGCTGTGATATTATGCTTTGTTGGTTAAATTTCCTTCTTTCCTTTTTAGAGTAATTCTTGAGTTATACACTACATTAATCAGTTTTGCACTCTTTCTTGGTTCTGTCTTTTGATAGCATTTAATTGTACTTTTCAGTTATTGTTTCTCCACATGGAATGCGTGGTAGGCTTGCTGGATGTTGTGCAAATGATCTTGTTAAGCAAGTCTATTTCAGGTGGAATTTACTTATACTTTTGCATTTTTTGTACAATTTCATCTTTTCTTTTTCCATACTACAACTAACTCATCTATTTTGATGGTATTGATATTTTTTTTCTACTATTTCTGTTTCTTCCTTTTCAACAGCTCTGGCAACTTGAGGAGTTCAAGTGGATTTATAGGTCTACCTTATCATGTTTCCCAAAGTTCCAGTTGCCAGTTGAGGGGACAGAATTGCTATGTTGAAGTTACACTTGGCTGCCCCAAGTCAGCAAGTGAGAAGGCATTACATTCAAACTCAAATTCCATTCGGAATTTACCAAAGCACCATGTTGCTGAATCTCCTGCTGTGGGAAGAGATAAGAAGAGATCACCAGATCGCTTATCAGTTCATGAGAAAACTTTTATCTATCCAACTGAGGCAGTGCTTGTCCCTGTCTTGCAAACATCCTTTGCTAGATCTTCACTGAGAAGGTAACTTTTGATTTCTCTGTTTATTTTGCTTTGAAATTCCAAATAGGAAAATAATAAGCCGGCAGTACATTCTCATATTCTCTTGCTTCAAGTACATTAGGAATTTTGGAATGTTTTAAGCTGAAGAGGTTTAGTAAAAATTCAGCTGATGACTGTATTTCCACTTCTTGTTGGTACTTCCTCCCTCCCAAAATCTCCTTTTTTTTTTTAATAAAAAATTTTTTTGAATTCCCTCCAAATATCATATTTGCATGCTTCAACATAAACCATGATAATTTGTCCATGGTAGCAAGCTAGTTGGGTGATAAATGATTTGGGTTCTTTATTGTTTGTACTCATGTTGAGAATTTGGTTGATGCTATGCTTATTTTATATTCTGTATGTTTTATTGCCAAAATTGTTTGATTGCCAAAAGTAACCGGTTGAGGATTTTAATCTGCAGATTCTGGCTACAAAATTGGATAGGGCCTTCATTTGGTGGTTCATCTTTCTTTATGCATTGGTTAGTGCTCTATCTCTCCACATGCACACACATACACACACAAACACAACCTCCCCCCCCCCCCCCCCCCCCCCCCCCTCTTCTAAAAAGGGCAGTTTTCATCACTCATTTTTCAGTAGCACAGTTCATCATTGAAACCCATAATGTAAGCCAATGTTATGCCTGAGAGAGATAAAATCTTTGTCATTGGCTCATTGCAAATGATAGTTTGTTTGGTTAATCACATTTCCAACATTGTTATTTGCAAAATTTCTACGTTCCTTCCTTTTTCTTTTTAAAAATGATGAGAAAATTCAGTGTGTGCCAAGTTTTAATTAGATGTCCCATATGTAATTAGCAGTCAAAATTGTGAATTATTGCAGTGTTTCCCCTTCTAGTCCCTCGGTACAAGAGAGATTATAGCTAGGCTGCGTTAGTGAATGAAATTAAAGAAAGTTATTTGAAGTATATGGCTGCAAAAAGAGGAACAACCATGAAAAGGAGCTTGTAGACCATGTATATTTCACTCTTCTCAAGATCTTGGCCTTTAAGATTAATGTTTAAGTGAATTGTCATTCAAAATGACTGAGAAAATGTTATTCATTAATGTCACATGTTTCAAGCAGTAATCTCATATGATGAACCATAGTCCCTGAATCTTTGTTTTCTTCTGCAGGTTTGGCAATATAGATTCAATGGAAGGACCATGGTTTGAGATCAATGGATTGCGCACGTGTCATGGTTATAACAGTAGTAGTAACAGTAATAACAGCAGTATAAGTTCCATAAGCAGCAGCTCCAGTGAAAGTATGACTACAGGAGCTGGCGAACTTGAGGCTGATGCTGATTCTCTGTCTTGTAGGCAGTCTGGATTATCTTCTACTGACCAGCTTGAGAATGATCACCCTAAACTGGTGTGCATTTTATCCACTTTACCTAGTAGTTTTTTTAATCTATTTTTAGTGTTTTATTGATGGGTGCAAATACTAGTGTCAAAATTTAAGATGGCAGCAATCACCTGTGAAACCTGAAAAGATGGATATTTTGCCATGCAGTTTTGGCATATCCCTGTTTTTTCTTATTCTTTTAATTTACTATGAAAAGAACTAATGTGAGAAAATATCCTCTTATCTGTATTCATTTGTTGGATACTTTATTTCTGTCTGTGTGTATTTGTTAAATAACCATAGATAAGGAGTTCATAATCAATGAAGCTGATCTCTGTCTCTTTTCAATGTTATATTATTTCCAACAAGAATGACTTTGTCTTTCTTTCCTGTACTTTTAAACTGATCTAATAATAGACTAGGAGTCTCTGTCTGAAATGTCAATAAATACAAAATTACAAACTACTGTGAATATCTATCCTAGAAATCACAATCTTTGGAATTGGCATACGCAGCTATATTCTTTCTTAATGAAGATATTTTTCTTGTATTTACTGAGATAATCTTAACGAAAATCTTTTGCAGGGCACTAAGCGCCCACGAACTGGTATGGCAGAGTCATTTAGTCAAGTGGGTAGTATTACAAATGCTCCTACACAAGATGTGTATAAGTCCAGTTTCACCTCCATGGATGTTAGCACTTCAGCCATCACTGGAGTTGGAAATGACCAAATTGGATCTAACTGGGATTGGGATGATGATGAGAGAGGAATGGACATGGATATTCAATCTCTTCTCTCTGAATTTGGAGACTTCGGTGACTTCTTTGAAAATGAAGCTTTGCCTTTTGGCGAGGTAATTTCGTATCTCTTTTTATTAACCTTTACCATAGCTAGTGTATATCCTGGGGGTAATTATAATTTATACCCCTTGTTTGAAGTGAAATTCTTTTTAGAAGAGCACACAAGCCTGATCCAAGTTGGTAATGTTACTATTGGAACATAGAAGTATCTTTATACTTTACAGTGCTTGGAAGCAAAGTTTACCTTCTTGGTAAATGATTTGGACATAATTTTCATGGCAATAAAAGTTTGATTCAAATCAAGTTTCAAGGATGCATTTTTCCCAAACCTTTTTTTTCTTTTTAAAATTTCAGGCTTTATATTAATACCTACATTTTCTTCTCTTTTCAGTAGTTTCTTTGTTTCTTGACATGATTAAGCTTTCATTAATCTCATCATGCTTTTCCCTCGTAAAGCCCCCAGGAACTGCAGAGTCACAGGCTCTTATGTTTCCTCCTTCAGATTGTGGAGATGTAGGGAGCAGTCCAGCTGGGGTAATGGATGTTTCTGAGCACATGCTTTTAATTCCATCCTTTGAGAACTTTAATCCGCCTCCTCCAGTGGCTGCTGAGGAGTGCCTGAGCAAAAATCAAGAGGTTGCAAATGGTTCTGTGACATCTGGTCCGACAAACCAGAATGCTGCTTCTTCTACTGGCGAGTTTGATCATGTAATGAAAGCTGAAGCACTGATGACATTTCCTCTGGAATACGGAGCTGTTGAAACTCCCACAAGTGATACCTCAACAATTTTTAGAAGCCCCTACCTCCCAAAGTCTCATAGAGTGGAGAGCTCAAATTCAAGCACTAACAATTACAAATATGGTGCAACCCCTCCCTCTTCTCCTTGCTTTGATGGATCAGATGACAAGTCTGCCATGCATGTGAATTCAAAAGCACGTCCTGGAGGTCATGATTCAAGTGTTATGCTCCAGTTGAAGAAATATTACACTCATATAGAGAGCAGAACAGAGAAATATGATAGGAGAATGCTTAAACATAATGATAGTAGTGCTACTAGTGAGGGGGTGGCAACATTGGAATTTTCTAATTTCAGTTCTACCAATGCTGTTAAGCCTGTAGAGAGGAAAATGATGGAAAGAAAATTTTCCACTGAGCATGTGCTTCTGTCTACGAACACTGTACTAGCAACTGAAGTTGAATGTGCTATGTTCCAAGCTTCAATGTTGAGGATGCGGCATTTACTTTTATCTCCCAGCAGTTCACCAACTGTTAGCTTGAGTAAGTTTACAGGAACTTCATTCATGAATCAGGTTCCTGGTGACCCTAGCAGCATGACAGACAACATATCTAGCAGGTATGAGATGAAGAAGAAAGAATCTATACCAGTCAGAATAGCTGGGGATGCTGAGGGAGGATTGATAGACGGGCAACTCAATGCAACTGTTGCAGTATGGCGCTCCGTTGGAGTTCCTAAAGTTTCAAAACCTGGTACATCAACGAGTATTGAAGTTAGCCCATCCTTGCCCCACAATTCATTTAATGATGAAAGCATTCGTTCTTATGGTCAAAGGCAGCTGCTTCAGGATCTTCTTGATGGCATGGCATTACTGGTCCAGCAAGCTACTTCCTTTGTTGATGTGGCTTTGGATGCAGATTGCAATGATGGTCCATATGGTTGGCTTGCATTGCAAGAGCATTGGCGGCATGGATTTGCATGTGGGCCTTCCATGGTACATGCAGGTTGTGGTGGGACTTTAGCCTCTTGTCATTCCCTGGACATTGCTGGTGTAGAGTTGGCTGATCCTCTTTCTGCTAATGTAAGCCTTTCTTCCTATTTCTCTAGTTGTTAATTTTACTGGATGCGTATTTTCAATTTTAGAATTATATACCCATGCCCTAGCTGATATAGGCCGCTATATTGGATCATGTTGAGATCTCTGTGATGTTTCACTGTTAAAACATGTCAGGGTTTCTAGTGAAACAGGTCTCTGTTGCATTTTGTGTCAACTTGCATAATTTAGTTGCTTCTAAATTATCAGTAAAGAAATGCAAAGTGGTTCGAAGTACTCAATTTTAGGATTTTTTTTTTTTCCAGATGGTTACTCATCTTCCATGCTGAAATTAATCAAGGATTCAAATTGATAACTCATGCACCAAGTTTGTGTTTGACTTTTTCAGGGCATTACTCCTTTCCTTCAATTATTGTTTATGTTTATTATTTTCTGATAAATTATAGCATAATAAGATACTGAAGAAAATTTGCAATAAATTTAACTGCTTAGAAATATCAGATAAACAATTTGGAATCATCCAAAACGTACTGCAGTATTTGCAACCTCCTTGATTCTTTGAATTTAGATGTTACTTTGTTCTCTATTACCAAATCTTTTATATTTCTGCCCATACTGCACATATGTAAAACTGTCATAGATCAGTCTTTTTCCTTTTTAATTGAATCCCATTCTATTTGGCATATTCAATTAAATTTTCTGAGGAATAAAGTCTGTAGATGTATGAATTATATTCTAGCTTGTACTTGTTTTTTGTTAGGAAACAACATGGTTTTTGGAAGGGTAAATACTTAATCATAACATAAGATGATTCTCATGGGGAGAACATTCCTTTCTTCCAGATTCATGCTTCCTCCGTAATCAGTGCACTACACTCTGAAATCAAAACAGCATTGAAGTCTGCATTTGTCGTTCTGGATGGTCCATTGACAGTCACTGATTGGTGCAAAGGCCGGAGTCAATCAGGTGAACTAGCCACTAGTGATGGATCTTCAATAGAGTCTACTGCAGGTGAAGGCAAAGATCCTAACACTGTGACTTTCTCTATGGGAGAACCTATCAGTCCATCACAAAGTGCATTAGGTGCAATATCTAAAGGTAAGATTACAAATCGCTTGTACATGCTAGAAATTTTGGGTTTCAAGCAAACTTGGCAATTGCCTTATTGGTGCAGTGTCTAGTGGAATGGATGGAACCAAAGTAGACGACACAATCCAAAAGAGATTGAACCATGAAATCTCTAGTTCAGAGTCAGAGCAGCAACTAAGCTCTAGGCTAAGACCAACACTTTTTGTTCTTCCATCACCTGCTATACTTGTTGGGTATGCGTCCTTCAATCCTCACTAATATAGTTTACACTTTCAACATCAGAGATTAAATTTCAAACTTAGCTTGCCTGTTTATATCTAAAGATTTATCTTCCAGGAAAAACTAGAAATGTATTTTATCCTCTAATTTGTCTTCTTCCTTGCCCTACTAATCATTTAGGTTCTCATGGTTTTGCATTTTCCATTTCTGCCTAACATGATTCTTATTTTATCATTTGTAAAGATTTTTTTGTCCTTTATATTCGGTCAGTCAAACTACAAATTCTCAGTGCACATTTAACCAAAAAGTTCTTTTTAAGGGAATCCATCTCTATGTTTTGTTCTTTGAGAAATATACCTATGTTGGATCTGAGCCTTTTTCTGACTTAGAATTGAATTGGAGATTCTTGGATTTGAATGTGCCACCCTATGGGTAAACTCTCTTGTCATTTTTGAGTGGGAAAATCCCACATCAGTGAATTAAAGGTAAACGTGTGAACTTAAATGACAACAAAAACTAGGAGAACTAGACAGTATATAAAGATAAAAGAGAACTCTAATTTGTTTTTCTACCATATGTTATACATTACAATTTGTGTGGAGGAGCTGAATTGTTTTTTTCAGCTAACCTACATCATCTACATCGTATAGAATAACATTTCTTAGTTTTTCATTCTAGTATTCTAATAGTTATTGCATGTGGATAAGTCACTGCAAGTAAAGCTTATTCCAAGTAATGGAGTTAGGAACTTCATGTACATCTTCTTTTGTCATTTTGGAGGACTGCCCTCCCCTTGTTGCTCCCTTCTGCATTGATGATGCTGATCGAGTCCAGTTTAATAGATCCCCTTGATGTACTGTCTTTTTGTTATTGAATGAACAATATGCTCTATTTACCCTTAAAAAAAAAAACAAAAAAAAACTAAGTGCAAGTAATGATTTCTGCAACAGGTACCAGGATGATTGGTTAAAGACTTCTGGTAGCTCTCTGCAACAGTGGGAAAAGGCTCCTCTAGAACCATATGCCCTGCAAAAACCTGTAATATTTTTGGAGTTACTTGCTGCCAGCATCAATAATAAATCATTTTATCCATTTTAGCCCTGTGTACTGTCTTCATTAAACTGCTTCATGCTGAAGATAACTTCTGCGAATTATCTTGCAGATTACTTTCTTTGTTGTATGCCCAGACATTGACCCACTGACTTCTGCTGCTGCTGATTTTTTCCAACAACTAGGGACTGGTTAGTAATAGCCTGGTAGCATTATGCTTTAAATTTAACGTACAAGACATTATTTCACCTTTATATGTGATTCACATGGTTTTGGAGCTTGTGTTTTTATTTTTAACTAGTGAAGAAAGAAGGTTTAGATGTTTGCTCCATCACATCAGTTAGTGTAATTTTAGTACTGGTCCCTTCTGATTTATTTATTTAGTTGTTATTAAGTGGGAAAATCCCACGTCGTTGAATTAAGGGGGAGCCTGTGGACTTAAAATATTGTTGGTACTTCACCTATTGCCATTTGGTTACATTATGTAAATAATAACTGCTTTCTCTTTTAATATCACTGCTTATTTCCATATAGTTTATGAGACGTGCAAACTGGGAGCTCATTCACCTCAGAGTTTTGGAAACCAGATGGAGATAGACTCAGGGAGAGGGCCATCTCCTGGCTTCGTTCTACTTGATTGCCCTCAATCAATGAAAATAGAAAGTAGTAATGCCTCTCTCCTGGGATCAATAAGTGATTATTTTCTTTCACTATCAAATGGTTGGGACTTGACTAGCTACCTCAAGTCTCTATCAAAGGCTCTCAAAGCTCTGAAACTTGGTACCTGGTTATATGCTAATCAAAAAGAAGGGATAAGTGGCCCTTGTATGGTGAGTGGGAAGTTCTATTTGTTCCTTTTGTTTCAGTTCTTGCTTCTGTCAACTCCATGGGTTGAGCAGAATAAATCCCCATACCTTCATCCCCACAAAAGTAAACAGCAAAGTTTCTCTTTTCTTTTATATATTTGTCTAAAAAAAGACGCAAGAATATAATCTTTATTTGTTATTGTTGACTGAGCCATGCATTTTAGTTTCCTGGCATCTTAGTTTTACACAGTTGCAGTTTATATTTGCTGATGTTAGGGATCCATTTACAGCCTTCAGCTGCACTGCTTGCTGGAACCTGGGATTTTCTTGCATTATATATTTCATAGCTTGCTCTGTATTGAATGTTATAACTGGACACTCTTTCCATTACATTCATGTTTTTTCTTTGTGTATACAGTTATTTAGCATTGATATTCTTCCAAAGATGAGCTATCAAATCATACTGCATTTCGTTTCCTTTGCTTTCTCTTTAGAGGCCCAATTTTAGCCAAACTAATTTAGGATCCTGGATTGTACTGGTTTCTTGTTTTCAGGTAATATATGTGGTTTGTCCATTCCCTGAGCCTACTGCAGTTTTACAAACTGTGGTTGAATCTTCTGTTGCCATTGGATCAGTTATTCTCTCTTCTGACAGAGACAAGAGACCTATGCTGCACACACAGGTGGGGAAAGCTTTAAACTACTCGGCTGCTGTGGATGAAGCTTCAATATCAAATATTCCAGTCCTTTCTGGATTTAGTGTCCCTAAATTGATACTCCAAATCGTGACAGTTGATGCCATTTTTAGGGTTACAAGTCCACCTTTTAATGAACTTATAATTCTTAAGGAGATTGCATTCACTGTTTACAACAAAGCTCGGCGAATTTCAAGAGGATCCTGTAATGATGTGGTCCAGTCATCATTATCCAGTCGGTCTCATTCTGTATTGACTCCAATGAATACCCTTACTGGAATGTGGAAGGAGAGTGTTAATTCTCGAATCCCTCTTCCTAGAGAGGGTGAAATTGATTCCAGCCTGAGGGCTGGTTCTTGGGATAATTCCTGGCAAGCAACAAGGACTGCAGGATTAAGTTCTGATCCAAACAGAAACGGAGACCTTTTGTCTCAAGAGGAAACCCGTTGCATGTTTGAGCCACTTTTCATTCTTGCAGAGTCTGGTTCTGTAGAGCACGGAATTTCACCTCCTGGTTTTGGTAATTCAACCCATGAAACTTTGAAGGCACAGATTGATGACAATGGTGCCTTCATGCAGAGTACAAGTTCAGTGGGAAGTATGGATATTGGACAAGGATCTCAGCTTGATGGATCTGAACCTGATGGCTATAATTCTAGCAGTCAAAAGGCCCTTCCAAGCCTGCATTGTTGCTATGGTTGGACAGAGGATTGGAGGTGGCTGGTATGTATCTGGACTGATGCAAGGGGTGAATTGCTGGACAGCAACATTTTCCCCTTTGGGGGTATTAGCAGTAGGCAGGATACAAAAGGTCTACAATGCCTTTTTGCACAGGTTCTGCAGCAAGGCTGTCAGATACTTCAGGCATGCTCTTCTTCTGATATTGGTATTGTCAAGCCTAGGGATTTTGTAATCACTCGCATTGGAAATTTCTATGAGCTGGAATATCTGGGTAAGTTATG